TTATTCAATTATTTGCAGCATAAAATATCGCAGTGTTTAAGAAAAGGAGTCAAGAACCAAAGCAAAAGGAGTTCTGATTTTGTGCCAAGGAGCAAGGCAGGAGAGTTCTCAGTCTCAAAGATGTACACACACAAATGTAAAGCATTTGTGACAGGACAGCTGTACAAGGCACAGATGACATTACCCAGAGCTCTCCCAGCCAGGTGAGAGCTGTGATCTCACATCACTGGCACCTGGCCCAGCAGCCGAGCCATTCCCCCTGACCCAGGGAGCAGGGAGGGAGGCTGGGCTGTCCCACTCCCACCAGGGACTCTTCCCCCCCAGCCACCCCACAGGCACTGTCTGGGTCCCCAGGCACAGAAGGTACCAAGGAAAATGTCTGATACTTCAGGACAGCTGTTTGGTTGAGCTCCCTCTTCACATCTCAACTCCAGTACAAAATTCTTTTTACTAGATTTTAAATTGAATGTCAAGTTTCATTAAAAAAACATGTATCAGACTACTCTTTTCCACATCTGTTCTTTTTAGCTGAAACATGGAGAGATGTGTATAAAGTAGATTTAAGAAGACATTGTGTGTTTGTATTTGTTTTGTTGAAGGCACCCATTAATGTTTTTCCCACCTTGGTAAGTAAACGTGTCATCAAGGCTTCTGTTCTTGCAAATCCAGGCTGGACAAAATGGGATGAGTGCAGCTCTTGCCTTTCAGCATGAACAGTTTCCTTGATGGAGGGTATTCCTTCCAAATCAGACTGCCAGCAGCAGGGAGAGGTGCCCAGCCTGCTCCCACCCAGGCACTCCCCACTCCCACTGCACAGCATAAACAAAAGCATCGAGGTCCAGCTGTCCCCTGGATGTGACAGGAAGTCAGTCTGAACTCACTGCACCAGCAAAGAGAAACAAACCCCCCCCCAAAAACATCCCCTAACCCAGCTTCACTTCCAGACAGCCAGGAGGACAGCAAGGGGATGACTCTGGGTGGCAGTGCCAGCTGAAAGCACCTTGCTGATGCCACCTCCCTCTATGAGCACTCAGAGAAGAGGCAGAGGCCCTGCAGGACACAGAGCAGGAGGTGCCTCTGTGTCTCCCTGAGCTGCAGGGCAGCGTGGGACACACCCAACAACCCCACACCAATGTCTGGCCAGGGAGATTCTCCTTGCCCTTCCTGAAGGCCTGGGTAACACATCTGGCACTAATTCAAAAATCTAATGGAGAGATACAACAGTTGACAAAGGAAAAACTAAGCAGACATAAACAGGAATACTAGGAATGAACTTACAGTCCTTTTAAGGATGTACTGCAAAACAAGATTCATCACAGATTGCTCTAAATACTTTGGATTTGTTTAAGAAACACACTCTTAGTGGTTTCTTTCACAGAGCTGAGAATGTGTGCACCATCCCCACAGGGAGCTCTGGCCTGTGACAGCAATACCCACCTGACCCGAAGCAAGAGAAGAACACACTCTTGCAGCAGGTGACAAACAGGGGGAGCAGAAAGGAAAAGGGGAAGAAATGCAGTTTACTTCTAACCTAGCAGCTCAAGCTCAGGAGCTGCACTCACAACTCAAGAATGCCCAGCAGTGCCCTGCAGCAAACACCCTGTGCCAGCAGCACTGCCAAAGCCAGCCCTGAAGGGGCAGGAGATGGAAGCTCCAGGGTAACACCCAAGCAAACTCTGGATGCCACAGAGGTTTTACAGGCACAGCCATCCTCATCATCTGTGCTCCTTAAACCCACAGCCAGCTGCAAGCAGCTTCACCAGGCCCCACAGAACTCCTGACGCTGCACAGCACATCCTGTAACTCCCACAGGCCACCAGGGCTGCCTGACAGCCTCTGCCACAGGCGCCATAAGTTACAGAAAAGGTAACAAAGTTTAATTTAAGTGCACATCAGTTCCCTCCCCTAAGAAATGAGTCACCTTGGACTCCACATTAATCTTGTTCTAAGGCACTATGGTAGCAAACATTGGTGTCATTGCAGAAACCATTTGTAATTCCTCTTTGGAATTTAAACTGGCATTTGGAGGAAGCCAGTAAGCCACACTTACTCCAGTTTCTGCTAGGATTTTAATCAATTTTCACCACATGAATCAGTTTAAAATCTCATCTTTCTGAGAAAGAATCACCCAACAGATACACTCACTCTGAAAAAAACAAGTCAATAAAAAAAGCAACATTCAAGCACATGTGCTGGCAGAGTTTGAATGGGGGAATACCATTAATCCTTCTGATTTGGAAGGAATACCCTCCATCAAGGTAACTGTTCATGCTGAAAGGCAAGAGCTGCACTCATCCCATTTTGTCCAGCCTGGATTTGCAAGAACAGAAGCCTTGATGACACGTTTACTTACCAAGGTGGCAAAAACATTAATGGGTGCCTCCAACAAAACAAAACAAATACAAACACACAGCTCTTCTTAAATCTACTTTATACACATCTCTCCATGTTTCAGCTAAAAAGAACAGATGTGGAAAAGAGTAGTCTGATACATGTTTTTTAATGAAACTTGACATTCAATTTAAAATCTGGTAAAAAGAATTTTGTACTGGAGTTGAGATGTGAAGAGGGAGTTCAACCAAACAGCTGTCCTGAAGTATCAGACATTTTCCTTGGTACCTTCTGACAGATAATATCTTCTAAGAGAAAAGAAAATAACCACTCTGCCAAGAATGCCTCCTACTCCTTTAATTGTTATTTTTAACTTCAGGGCTAACTTTAAATGTTAACATTTCAGCATCTCTCCTACAAAAGATGGATTCAAAGCAAATGGACCCTCCACAACTGACTGATCTTAAACTTTCAGGTTTCAGTCTGAAGTCCTCAAATCCTTGTTGGGCACCATCTGTCAGATGGAGCAGGGTAACACACAAACTCTGGCCATCAATGTTCACAAATTCACTTGGTATTCAACATGAACTTGTCCTGTTTTATAATTTTGTTTGGCTAAGGACTGACAAGTGTTCAGCTCAGCTAAAACTTCCCAGGAGTTCCAGCTGGCAAACAAACAGAACTCACTAAATAACAGTGACCCACTTGATTTCAATGGTAAAAACAGATGCTTTGGGCAAAAATATTCAATTGACAGTTCAACTGGTTTAGGTATGTCACACTAAGATCACAAGCAGAAATTCAATTATTGCTTTAATGATTACTGGCTGAACTGGTGCAGTTTTATAGCACAAATACACTGCACAACAGAGACAAGCACAAGAGAATCCATGCAACCTCCACCAATCTTCCTAAGGTTATTCCTATTATAATGAGTAACTGGGGGAAATAAATTATATCTGCAATATGCAAAATGAAAATCTGAGCTGAAGGGCAGATAATTACCAGCTCTGTCTGCTGTTCCTGTGCCCCCATCATCCCTCTCCCCCAGGAGGTGTTTAAGGTAGAGAAAGAAACCCATGAAAGCTTTCAGCAGCAACAACCAGCACACAACTCCACCTGCATTCTGCTTTTCCCACCAAGATCCCTTCAGACCAAATCATTATTGCATTACAAAACTTCTGTGAACGTGGTTTTGGGTTTTATGTACAACTACATAGTCACAAGCAACATTAAATACTTGCAAACCCACGTTCTTAAATATAAATACAACCCTTCCCACACAGGATAAATCAGAAAGTGTGAAATATTTTAAGTAACATTAGAATACTCAAAAAAAATCACGTTTGAAAAACCAAAGGGAAAAAATAGCCGAATATTTAATAGAATTGTTATCAGAATGCAAGATAAATACCCCTGTTAGGCATAGGAACAACCTCCAACAACTGACCCTTGGTACTCAATAACTTAAAAAATACCACACAGAATTTCAGCTGCTTCATTTCAGAAGGAAAAAAGGTTGTAAGGAACTGGAGGTATCAGGAAATACTGAGGCATCTCTTTCCAAAAGGAAGTGAGCATGTCTAACTACTCACACAACACAAAAATAAACTAGAATATTTATCAGCTCAGAGAAACCAAACACAGCATACCCACAAAAACATTTACACCTGATCAAATATGTTAAACAAAGCAGCTCCACTAATTAGCTCTTTGATTACAACAACCATGAAGTGACTTTGTGGAACATTAAGGAACAGCATGAGCCATACTAGTGGAGCCAGAGTTTCAAATGAAGTGTTTTACTCTAAAAATAGTTGCATATTTCAAGTGTTGAAGCTGCTCGTGTGCTGGGGCACACAATATCTGCTTCTGGGAAGCCACAGCACAGGAGTAACTCATAAGGTCAAAAACTGCAGAAAACCCTGCTCTCACATGGCTCTGTTCTTTAACAGCACTGCGAGAATTATCCAGCACTTCCTCAGCAAAGCACTAAAACACAAAACAAAATTGGTATTTGAATGTTTTTTGAAGCAGCTGACTTCAAAAATACTTTCAGAAAGCCTGTAAACATTTACAACACAGTATGTGTATTAATACAACATTATTACTTTCAAGGTCAGTATTACACATGCAGTTTCTTGGAGCTACATATTTTGGTGTTATTTTTAACATCTGACAGAGCATCTTGTACTGTTGCAAGCTCTACACTGTTTACAAATACTCCCAAGCTGCAGCTGCTGACTCTACAGAGCATGTCTTGCCATAGCAGAAAGAAAAGTAATTTTAATTATCCATTAATGGCATTTTTTACAGCACTATCTGCACTCATGTTCTGTAGATTGGCTTTGTAATTTTTCCACCTTTTGACAATTACATGGAACAACAGGATTTGGTTACAAGAATATCCATTTCTACAAAAGGTCAGAAAAGTCCAAGTACACTTGAGAGACACGTCTAACCCTGTTCAGATTATGGATGAACTTCACAGCCTCTCTCAGCAGGTGCTATTTCAGGAACCTCTACATTTGGCTTACTTTTTTAAATGGAAACACAGAGATAAAAAAAGCTGGTTTGAAATCAAATGCCAAGTTTCCGTTTTAATTCTTCATTCTCCCAAAATATTAAACCGCCAGCACAAGAGCAGAAGGTAGCAGTAAACAACTTACCCACACAAGCATTTAGGAACAGCCAGTCAGTCTTTTTCATTCTATTTTTTATTTGCTTTAGTTTTTTGAAGTCAACTTCAAGCTCCTCCTTGCTGCCAACAGCTCCAGCCAATTCAATTCTTTGGAAGTCCATTTTCACATCAGATTCACGTTTGGTTGTTGGTGGAGATCTTCTTTGGCTATTCCCACTGCTAGAGCTGCCTCTCCACCGAGCCCTGTCTTGCTCGTTTATGATGGAAGAAGCCTCTTCTGTGTCTGCCAGTTCTATTGCTTCGATGTTGTTGGGTCTGGGGTGGTCACACACAACGCATTTCCTGGCCTTGGCCCAGTTTTCATATGTACAAACAGAACAAGTCCAGTGCTGAGCCCTGGTGTTCAGTTTATTTCTGTCATTGTACTCCTCACACGGATCCACGGCCAAAGGGACCGGCCTGGAGCCGGAGCCCGAGGACTGAGGGGACTCCGTGGGGCTCCTGGTCCTGCGCTGGGACAAGCACTGGGTACACCTGATAGCCCTCGGCCAGTTCAAGTACGTGCACATGTGGCACGACCATTTATTTGCACTTTCCATGCTGTAGGATGATTTAACCCTGGGTCTTGCACTGGAATCCGGGCAGATCAAAGGACTGCTCCCTCCTTCGGTGCTCGAAGGATCCCAGTCCCTCCCGATGTCGCTGGAGCCACTTTTGAAAGGATCTTCTGTGATAATTGTTCCACTGGGTCTCTGGGCACGACACATGGTGCACTTGATTGCAGAAGGCCAATTCTCATATGTACAATACTCACAGGCCCATTTAATTCCACGCTCTGTCATCGTGCACTCCTTGAAATGAACTGCGGCGAGCAGAAAGCTGAGGGGTCAGAACACACCATCAGTACACAGAGCCAGCAAAGGAGCTGTTCAAAACAACAAAGGAGTGAGATTTAACCCCGTGGATATAAAAATCAGGCTGGCCTTTTTTATTTTATTATTAAAAAAACAGGCAGTCTTTTTTATTTGATATTATTACAACATCTAAGGGGAGTAAAATCACTACCGGCATTTACATGCAAAATTCGGGATTTACTAGTGCAAAAATGAGTCCTACATTTCTGAAACTCCTCAAATTTGCAATTCCCAACAAATTCAGAATACTCATTAAGCACTGAGAATACTGGGGAAATAACCAGGACAGCTACAGAAACAAGTTATAAATATTAAAATTATCAAAATAAAATTCAGTACGAATTCAGCAGTACAAGAAAAGGAACACAAAGTCTAGGTCCTGTAACAGACCTCACAGGATTTGGAAGGACAGAGTGTATCAGGTGGACAGTTACACAGTGAGTAAGCAGTTCTGTCAGAAAAGGAGGGTGTTGGAATTTATATTAAATTCCAATATGAAATACTTACAATTTGAAAAGTTTAGAAATGTGCTAAGACTAGGTCTTGACTGGACATCACCCATATCAGTGGCGTTACAAAGTGAAAATGCCACTTGAAAGCAAGCACGAGCTGTGTGTGTTGGCAGGCTAAGACAGGATTTTCATGCTACAAATTCAGAATTCAACTCCATTCTAACTCACTTTTTCTCTAATGAAGAGGGGATTCTGTCTTCATGCTGGCTCAGACCTTTTCCTCAGATTGCTGAATATGAAGGATGAGACTAAGCAGATAACTATTCCTGTAAACAAAATGAAAACAGACTCATTACACGTTTCCTACTGGACCTGAGTAACCAGAAAGTTAATTATTAAATGCCACACCTATTCTAATCCCAATTTACTCAGTTAAACCCAGTCATGACCTGCTAAGGCCACGAGAGACTGGTTAAAATAAACCAATATTTATTAAAAAACAGTGGCTACACAAGTGGTCAATCTGCTGAAGTAAAAGAAGTAAATCCAAGCAACAAGTTCACACCAAAACATCCCTGAACACTCTCACTGCAATCTGAAACTTTGGATGGGGAAGGCAGAAAAAGCTTTGTGTAGAGCATAATAGAGGGAAAGGGTGAGGCAGGTAGATAAAGGACACACAGACAAACATACAGAGCATTTCCTCTCTTACCCCAGAATAGTTATCCAGCATGAAAAACTCAACAAAATGCTGCTTTTAAGAAGGCAAAACTCATTAAATACAAACTTGTCACATCACTTGACTGACACGTATTTATCATATTGCTACTCTCTCAGCTAACAAAACCACCCAGAGCCTAGGAAACTAAAACTCACAACAGGATTAAATTCAAAACTAGACACATGAACCAAAAAATTAGTTAACACCTGCTCCCCAATTAGCCAGTGTTTTATGAGTTAGTACATTCTCCACTGAAATACCTTCACACACACCTTGCTCTAAGGCACAGCTGAACCTTCTACTGAAATTTGCCAGCCTTACTCCTACTCTCTGCTCCTGAGGACTCCAGCACTGCCCATGGGTTTTTTCCAAGAGCTCAAGTGATCTATTGAGCAGATCAGGTGGCTGCATGAATGAGGGGCTATCGCATGGCTGGGCCAGAGGAGAGGGCAGCACTATCCTTTTCCATAGCAATCCATATTTATGCTGCATGCAAGCCCAGGAGCAATCAGGAACACAGAAAGCCCTCTCATAAAGCTCAGGTTCCACAGTACTGCTCTGAGCAGCCTGCAGAGCACTTCACTCCCACCTCTGCATTATAAAACTGTGTCACACTGAGGAATGTGCTGAAAAGGCAATCACATTTCCTGCTGCTTCCCCTCCACCACTCCTGACAGATGTCCATGCCCATTTATAATGGGGAAAAAAGGAGCTGGATCATACCAGGTGTCCCTTATCTGTGACAAAGGAAGTGAAAAATGCATATATACAGGAGAATACATATATACAGGAGAATACATATATACAGGAGAATACAGTAAGTGAAAAATACATATATACAGCAGAACACAAAGTTAACTTGATTTTATTAAAGGTGACTTTGCAAGGAAGACTTTTTGGGAATTCTCAGGAAAAAAAGTTTCTCTACTTTGCCAAAGCACCTCCTATATGAGTACACTAGATTTATCTATTCCATTTGGTCAAAGCTTTTCCCTCAATTCCCAAAATAAGGTTTTTAATTACTTTCTTAATAAGCTGCTTCTCTCTAGAAACAGTAGAGGATTTTTAGGAATTAATGTTTTGCAGTTAGAAACACAGGAGAGTTGAACAGGGTTTCCAGAACAGAGAAGGCAGGAGCACACTGCCCAGGCACCTGCCCACTGCCACCAACAGATTGTGACACCAAGGACCAAAAGTGGCTGTCCCAATACTCCAATGCTTGAGAATAATTCCTACTGGAGCAGAAGTTGGTTTGGTTGGAGTAGGTGATGCTTCCCATCAAATCCATAAACAGTCTGTGCTGGGTATGTGTAACTGTAAATGGTTTCTTTCCCTGCCCTGGTTTGTAAGGCCTTAAATAAAACAGCTCCCACTGCAGACAAATCCCAACCCACATTTGGGATGGGGCATGAAAACAAGACATCATCTGTTTCAGTGATATTAAGACTGGGAAAGGAGATTGCAGCTCAAGTTGGAAAGCAGCTGGTTGCAAAAACAATCTAAGCAAGTACTGAGATACTACTCAGGAAACAAAACAGCTCAGGACATCCCACCTTACAGGAAAGCTTTCACCCATATCACAAGATCAGCTTTTTAGCTGCAATTATCTTAGGTGCCACTTAAAAAGCAGATGCTCTCAGACATAACTCTTAGAGAGGATGAGTATGTGCAGCTCTGAAAGCCTCTGAGATGTGAGCTCACCACCTCTGAACACAAGGCCTCGGGTTATTATGAAGTAAAGAACATAAAAAGGCTCAACAGAGCAACACAATTTCTCTTCCTTGACAGCTCTGCTAACATCAAGTACAGTGAGGAAATTCAGCATTGGGGTTTTTTACTGTTTTTTACTTGATCTGACCTCCAATTCTACCCACCACAGTGGGAGCAGAGCTGGAGGTCACAGACACCAGACCCATCCAATTTGTTTCCATCAGGAGCTGCAGTGGCAGGACAAGGAGAAATGGCTTCACATTGAAAGGGAGTAGGTTTGGATTAAGTATCAAGAATAAAGTGTTCCCTGTGAGGGTGGGGAGGCCCTGGCAATCTGTGGAACCCAGGCTGCCCCTGGATCCCTGGAAGTGTCCAAGGGGCTTGGAGCAACAGGGACGGTGGAAAGTGTCCCCACCCATGGCAGGGGATTGGAACAGGATGAGCTTTAAGGTCCCTTCCAGCTCAGACCATCCTGTGATTCTATGATTTAGTGATGATACAGCATCACCATCCAGCCACAGCAGTCTGAAGCTTATTACATTTTTTCCCAATTACTTCTTTGACTCTGTTTTCAAGTCAACTTGTTATTTTGGATTCCTCCCAGAGGAGCAGCTGAATCACAGAGCGCCTCCTCTGACAGAGAAATAGCAACACAGTGACTGTGGAGTGCAGGTGCATGCCTTTATGTCCAAAAAGCACCAGCAGACAAGAAATTAAAACCCACAAAACTTCAAACAAATTCCAGTTGATCACTTTAGACAGTGTGCTGTGTATCTTCTGGACATACTTGTAGAGTAACTCCATACACTGAAGAGAAAAATACATTAAGTTCTGTATAAAGGACAAAAAAACAAATCAAAACCTTATCAGATCACCCTTTTACTACATGTAGTCAGTTGGAAATGGTGACCTAGAATAACTTTTTTTTTTGCTTTGCTTCTATTTTTAAGAACATTCTTTTTGGGTGCACAGGAAAACACCAAACAGCTCACACAAACTGGGAAGAAACAAAGAAGGTCTCAAATACCACTTTTATGACAGGATACATTACACCCCCTCAATTTAATTATTCCCTGTGTCCAGAAGTTGTTTTTCCTTTGGCTCAAAGAAGGAACAATATGGAGCTCCACTTCATTAAAGCATCAAGCCCTCCCTGCACACAGGCCAGATGCTGATTTAGACCAGTCCACACCACAGATTTCTGCTGGGATGGCGCTGGCATCTGTGCTGGCTGAAACCTTATGTAATCACCCCAATCCAATCAGTGCTCCCACCTCCAACTCATTTGGTTCCTGTCTGTGGATTTTCAAATCAAACTGCTTTGTGTTCACAGGCAAAAGGGAGCCCAAGGTGGCAGCTCCAGCCTTCAGCAAGGGGAATCAAGAACCACCTCCTTCCCCTCCTGTGCCTCTCACAGGCTGCTCCAAAAAGAAAGGCAGGCTGGTTTAAAAACACTAAAGCAACGTTTCACATGAACACAATAAGCAGAAGTACCTTTTTCTAAAAGAAAGGGATCTCTATAACCAAATGCAGAATCTATTTATTCAGCACTTCAGGAGTGTAGAAGTAAAACTTTTCACAAATCCTAGCCTTATGTTCCAAGGTGGACATTTACTGACTTTCTTCTCTTACCTTACCAAACTCACTCTACCTTCAGCTATTTGCTCTTCTTTCTCAGTAACTCAGTACAAGCCTGCACAGATCAGTATATTAAAAGCAGAAAGCTTCAACCTGGGCTTCTGCAGTTTGATGGGAATGAACAATAACCTCCATTGTCATCTCCTCAAATTAATTTTAATAAAATTAAGAACCCTGACCCTGTCAATGGAACAAACAGATCAGATCAGCACTTCATCTGGAAGCTTTGCAGCAGTATCTATGTATTATAACAAAGAATGGAAAGATTACTGTGAAGCCACAAACATAGAAGCATTTTGTGCATTAGCCCAAACACACTGAAGCAAGAAATTTAACAAACAAGCCCAGTTTGCTTTGGTTGTTAGGACAGTTCTTTAAAAAGGCAAGGTCACTGTCATTTCAGCAAAAGAGCACTGGAATGATTTTCTGCAAGCTGCTCTCCGAGGTGGGGGTTTGACATGGGAAATGTTGATTTCCTTACAGAACACCAGCTGGCTGAGCAGTGCCTACAGCAGGAGCTGGACCCAGGCTGCAGAAACCCAGAAACCTTGCCAGCAAACAGACACAGGCAGGGCTGGGAGGCTCTGCCTGCACCATCTCCCATCCTCAGGGCTGCCCCAAACACACCTGGACCCCTCTGCCCCCCAGCAGCTGGGACCAGGCTGCTGTCTCAGGGAAGCATCACCCACCTCAGACTGCACAAATCTCAATTCCATTACACACCTGTCGCAGACATTTTTTCACAGAAATCTTTTCTTTCAGATTTCTGCATTTTCTGGAAAGCAAGAGCCTCAGAAAAAAATGTAAACAATTGTTATCAGCTGCTGTAGAATGCAATAAGATGCACCTGTGATTAGTTCATGTTCCCATGTTTATAATTAAGGGCCAATCACAGGAACAAGCTGGGGACAGAGCCCCTAGACACAACTTTGTTATAAATTCTTTCTTTTCTATTCTTAGCTTAACTTGGGAAGCCTCTGCAACTTCTCTCTTTATTCTATTTAGTATAGTAATAATGTATTATATATCATATATCAATAAATCCAACCTTCTGATCAAAAAACAAGATTCTCGTCCTTCTCTCTCACCACCCCAGCAACCCCATGCAGAGCGCTGTAATACACACCCAATCACAGCACAACACAATTTATAAACTACAGCACTAATGGTGCACGAGAAAAAAACCTGTAAATAGTCACACAGTTCCAATGAGAATATTTTCAATCTAGCATGGTAAGTGACTTCCAATATTTTCTT